AAAAAAAAAAAAAAAAAACATCAAAAATCTCTTGTTTCTCACATAAATCTGTATACTACGACATTTTTTTAAGTTTATGTCGCTTTTTTATATTTATTTTCACCAATAAATCTATTGAGGTTCATGAATAAAGTGTGATGTTTTAGAAGTGCTATGGAAATGTTTAACTTGAACTTTAGAAAAGTGACGAGATATTATGTCATGTCTCAACCGGACAAATAATAACTCAATTGTGTTACATCCACATGAAAATTGCCAATTTGTCACTTTTTTTAGTGTTCGTCACTTTTTATTAATTTTTTATCACTTTTTTTAATGTTTGTTACTTTTTTGTCAATTCTTTGAAAATTCTATCATTTTTTTGAGTGACAAACATTATTTTTTTTAATAAAAATGACATTGTTTGTCATTTTTTAATAAAAAAGTGACAGTTGATCACTTTTTCAATGTCACTTTTTTTTTTTAATTGTCACTTTTTCTATTAAAAAAAGTCACAATTAATTTTAAACGGTATTTTTTACTTGCAAAATATGTTTCATATGATTTTTCAAATGACCCTTAATTTTAAGGGTATTTTTGTAAGTTCCAAAAAAAAAAAAAGTTTCAGGCCCATAAAACAAAAATGTCCTTACACATTCATGTCTAATATGCTCATATGACCTGTTTTTAAAGTTTAACCATCTCAACTTTGAGTTAGGTTAAGTAATTCAAATAACTAATTACCTTGTCACCATACCAGCTTCTTATGTCATTGGTTCACACCAACATTATAAAGAAGTTGAAACATTAAATTGGCATTTCATACCTAAGCACTTTATTAAAATCGCGAAGATGAAATGTAAAAGCTTTTCGTTGGTAATGTGATGATAACAATCCACCATGTACAGATGACACAATATACGTTTATGTCTAGTAGTTATGCTATGAATTTTCGATGAATGCTAAAATTGTCCAAAAACGAATATATAGTCACTGTCACATCTACAGTCCTCAATATCAGTGAAGCATCTCTAGATTAATTATCCGAAATAATAATCATCAAATTCCACATTCGAGGAGATATAGTACTCATTTTTTTCGTTCCTAAATCACAAATAAGAAATCTCAAATTCGGAATCCAAGTCTATGACACTTTTTTCTTAACAATCTCATAAAAATACTTCTACGTACAGAATAAGATATTTCGAGAATCAATCCAAATCACTAGTTCTATAGTTAATATTGGCTCATTGAATACCAACTCAATAATTTCATTGTGCAATTTTCATACGTTTCATATTTCATCGAAATGTATGCATTGTTTTTCAAGGCTCCAAAAAATGGAAATACAGGAAGAAATTTAAGATAGAATTTAAATTTTACCATAAACATTAAAAACCCAAACATCTCTTTAAGAATATTTCCTCTAGATCTTGTTAGGTTTTGACTAATAAAACAAAAGGATTCACGTCAACTGCTGTCGGATAATGGAAGGGGAATTGCAGACAGCAGAATCTTAAATATATTATTGGTAATTGAATATTTATAAAACAAAAGGTTTTTTTTAATGAA